TGGCGCGGTGCTGGTGTGGTCGCCGTCGTGGTGGTGTAGCTGGTGGGGCTGGTAATGAACCTCGCGGCCAGGCAAGCACGCCGACGCTCGAAAGCCGCCGCCTGCTCCACGAGCGCGTCGTGCTCGGCGTACGCGGCCTCGAGGGCACTGGCCGCCAGCCGCCGCGTGGCTCGCCGGCGGCCGCGGCGAAGGACCCGGCGAGCGTGGGCCGCCCGGCGCGGCGCCCTCTCGTTCGCGCCTGCCCCTTGCGGCGCCTCGTGGTCGCGTTGCGCCTCCTTTGCCTCCTCGTGCTGTTCTCTCCCCTTTTCCTCCTCGGCCTCGTCAGGTGCGTCGCCCGGTGCTGGCGCCGAGCGTCGCGGTTGCTGCTCTGGCTGTCGCGCCTGGCTCCCGAGTGGTCGCCTCGGGGGCCCTCGCCGCACCAGCGTCCAGAGGCCAGGCGGCGGACCTGGGTCGGGCGGCGACGGCGGCCCCACGCCGCTTGTCCAGGAAGCCCCCAGGGGGGTCCCCAGACCCTGGTTAGACCCTGGCGGTGTCCACCCCCAGGGGGGTCATGTCTGCCAGGGTCGGGCCGTCGCGTCTTGGCGCCAGGGCTGTCGTAGTCTTGTTGCTGGTGCTGGTGCTGGTGCTGGTGCTGCTGTTGCTGGTGCTCGCCGTCGTTGCCCCGCCGCTGGTTGCGGTGCTGTCGCTTGTGCTCGTCTTCGTCTTGGCGGTGGTGCTGCTGCTGGTGCTGCTGGTCGCCGTCGCGGTGGTGCTGGCGGTTGCCGTTGTGGTGGCGGCGTTGCGGGGCGCCGTCGCGGCGGCGGCGGTGCTTCTCCTTTGCCGCTGCCGCCTCCTCCTCCTCCGCCTCTGCCGCCTTTTCCTCCTCTTCCTCCTCTGTCGCTCTGCCTCTGGCCCTGCTCGGCGTCGCCCTCTGCCGTGCGCCCGGCCTCCCTTCAAAAGCGGTGGCCGCCCTCCCTGTGCAGCCTCTGCCTCTGTCGGCCTGCATGGCGGGGCGTCGCCCCGGCAGCGGGGCCATCCCGGCGGGCGCCGCGGGCCGGCCCGCCGCCCCCGCCCTGCGCGAGCGCCCGGTCAGTTTGGCGGCTGTTTCTGGACCGTCCTCGGCCTCTGGCGCGGCCGTGCTGCTGGCTCCGCCTGCGCGTCGCCTCCCCTCCTGCTGCGCCGCCTCTGCTCCCCCCGAGCGGCTGCGCGGCAGGTCGGCGTGCAAGCTCCTGCCCGCGGGCCCGGGCGAGGGCGCCATCGCGCGCAGGCCCGGCCCCCCCCGCGCGCGCGCGGAAGTAAAACTTTACGAAGGTATGTGGCGGCCTCTGGCAGGCGCCCGCTGAGCTCTTTCTTCGTCCTTCCCCTTCCCCTTCCTCCCACTCTCCCTCGTTCTCCCCCTCCTCCTCTTGCAGGGCCTGCGCCAATTCCAATGGCGGGCAGAGAGATGTACGCCCCCGAAGGATTGTCCGCCCGTTCCGGTTTGCAAGTACGTCTACGCCCGCCGGCCCCAGCAAAGAGGAATAATCCCCTCAAAAGGGCGGGCATCGAGGGTGTAGGGTATACGTGTTGAATGACTTGCGGGCAAGTAAGAGCGCACAGCCTTAAAATGGTTGTTGTTGTTGTTGTCGTCGTCGTCGTCGTCGTCGTTGTTGTTGTTGTTGTTGTTGTTGTTGTTGGTCCTGCTGCTGCTGCTGCTGCTGCTGTTGTTTGTTGTTGTTGTTGTTGTTGTTGTTGTTGTTGTTGTTGTTGTTGTTGTTGTTGTTGCTGTTGTTGTTGTTGTTGTTGTTGTTGTTGTTGTTCTTGTTGTTGTTGTTGTTGAACATTATTACTTCTAAAGAATAATTATTGTTGGGGCCCCTGGTGCATGGCCCCCCCGCCGCGCCTAGGCCGCAGCCACATTTTCATCATTTTCGTGAGGAAGTCTCAGGCAAAACGGGGGAGTCCGGATCCGGTTGTTTTGTTGTCCCCCGCTTTCCCTTGCAAAAAATAAGCTAAAGTGGACATTTCTTGTTCTAACATAACCAAACTTCAAGAATCCCTTGCAAAAAAATAAGGTAAAGTGGACATTCGCGCGCGCAAGACGAAATCCTTCCAAAACCTTAGTTTTCGTAGCGATTTTAACATAAAAACATCAAAAACCCAATGGTTTTTCAAAAACAAGTTGTGAAAATTCTATCCCGCGCGCTCTTGCGGATTCGTAGGAAACCCAACACTTTTTTAACATTTCTGTCAAAAGGGCTTTTGCGAGCAACTTTTTCGAATTTCTGCAACAACATTTGCGCACCTGCCAGGGCCATCATCCCTGTCAAATAATACCATGCGGGACACATTTGTTTTTTCTTCGCGCGCGCGCGCCGTCGTCGTCGGCCGCGGGGCCCTGAATAGTAGCCACGGTCGTCCGCGTGCCACGAAGTGGAGTGTCCGAACGTCATAGGGCGGGAAGCTGGGTGTGGGTGGTGGCGAAGAGTCGTTTGGAAATTTGGTAGAGCTTGAACCGGCCCCCCAACAAAGTGGGGGTATT